GGGTTACAACAGTTGAGCACCCTCATTTAGTTTTTTTTTTTTTTTGCCTCAGATGTGCACATAAAATTTAATTTTCTGTAAAATTAAAAACCTTTAAATGGAGAAATTCTTCTCTTACTCAGTTTAACTTTACTAATAAGATGAAATAACAAGCACTACAAGAGAAGGGAAAACAAGTAAAATAATATGATTAAAAAAAAAACTGTGATTATCATTAAGTGGAAATAATTATTTGAACTCATCAAAAAATAGAAAAACAGATGTATGGTTGCTCCGTTAAAGCAACACAAACACAGGTAGCTGTTGAGAAACATTTTTTAATGTACTATATTTTAGCTTAATATTTTATAATTAGCATTTTGAGATTGAAAATGGTTTTTATGCTACTAAATGTTATTTATGCAATTATATTCAATGTATTTCCATCTAATACTTTTTTTTCCCCTATAGTTTTAAATTTTTTTTATAGTATTTAAGGTTAAAATGAAAAAAAGTATTTAAATTCCAGTGCAAAGAGGAAAGTTAGAGCCATCTGGTGGCAGGAAAAATATATTCATATGTAATTCCATGGTGTAACCACTAGATGAGTTCTCTATTTTTCCATTTCCAATTTTTGACTGCTGAAAGTAAAAGTGGGACTTTTTTAAAAACTTTTTTTTTTTTTTACCCTTTTTGAATCATAGCAATTTTTTTGTGTTCACATAGCTAGTTTTTTTTTTATAGTATTTAAGGTTAAAATGAAAAAAAGTATTTAAAATCCAGTGCAAAGAGGAAAATTAGAGCCATCTGGTGGCAGGAAAAATATATTCATATGTAATTCCATGGTGTAACCACTAGATGAGTTCTCTATTTTTCCATTTCCAATTTTTGACTGCTGAAAGTAAAAGTGGGACTTTTTTAAACTTTTATTTTTTTTCTTACCCTTTTTGAATCATAGCAATTTTTTTGTGTTCACATAGCTAGTGCAAAAGTGCACATAAGCAGAAGTGACCTAGGAGCACCAGAGGTTTACATTTAAAACTATTTAATCATTACAAAAAAACAATTACATAAATACATCCTAAAACCTAACATTTTCAATATTTCCACAGGTGCTGGGAAAGGCTTATGCAGTGTTGGCTGACAAGGATCAAAGGGCAGTCTATGATGAACGGGGAATAGTGGACGAGGAGTCAGACACCCTTGATCAAGATCGCAATTGGGAGGAGCACTGGAGAAGATTGTTTCCCAAGGTATTTTTTTTTTTGTACCATGTATTGTTTTATGTTGGTTTTTCCAAAGGCAGTTGCTAAAATGACAAATTCTCTGCTATAGATCACATTGCAAGATATCTTGGACTTTGAGAAGCAGTATAAAGGCTCTGATGAAGAGGTAGAAGACTTGAAGAGACTGTACCTACTGCATGAAGGTGACATGGATCTGATCATGGAGTCTGCGCTGTGCTGTACTTCTGAAGATGAGCCACGTGTCAAAGACATGCTACAGAAAGCCATTGACGCTGAAGAGGTGCCAGCCTACAAAGCCTTCACTCATGAAAGTGCCAAGAAGAAGAACAACCACAAAATAAAGGTGCTGATTCACTTTCTAAAGTTTTGCTATGAAATAATTAAAAATAAGGTTTGAGTCTTTGATGAATTATCCTGACATTCTAGGCGGAAAAGGAGCGCAAGGAGGCAGAGGAAATGCAGAAGGAGATGGGCTTGAACAGTGAGGACAGCCTGGTAGCTATGATTAAGGTAAAAACCATTAAGATGTCACCGGCTGTATTAATCTGCCAAATGTGTACTCTATATGAATAGATTTTAAAATGTAATTTATTCCTGTGATGGCAAAGCTGAATTTCCAGCAGCCATTGCTCCAGTCTTTTGAAAGGTAGTGCATGTGCAAATCTGTACAAAGGTAAATAAAGGACCATTTGGATGGGATTAGTTTTCGAAATGACATTGATCGCTCCTGGACTTGTCACTGATGTTCCTGTACTGGTGCTGGCTGGTTCGGCCCCGCTGTCTTCATCTGGCTCATCATCCTCGATTTTGCTGGGAAGGCTGTCCAATAGAACACTGTACACCGATAAAAACCACTGTGAATAACCATGAGCTTTTGTATGCTTAATTACAGTACAGATAAGTACGGCAAACTTTTGCTAAAATTTTAATACAATTAAATGATAGTTTCCCACTATGCTACAAAAAGACTAAATGATGTTACCCGATTAAGTTAAAAAGATTAATCGGACCATTTTTACATATTTATTGAAATACCACAAAAACGTGCACATGGCGGCAGTTCTGAAGGAACTGGTGTGGGTGTGATTAAACTGACATTTATTAGATGAAAATCTGTTCACATAAACACCTAATGTTTTTAAGTAGTGATTTTGATTGTTGGATATAGTCAAGATCATCAAGTTGTTCTAGACAAATGTTTTATGTTAAAGGAATACTTTATCCAAAAATGAAAATGTGATGGAAATGTACTCACCCTCATGCAATCCAAGATGTAGATACGTTTCTTCATCAGAACAGATTTGGAGATATTTAGCATTACATCACTCTGTAATGCTAAATGTTTCCAAATATGTTTCAATGATGAAACAAACGTATCTACATTTGTGGCCTGAGATTTCCATAAAAAAAAAAAATTTAAAAAAAGATTTTCATTTTATCAAAACTACTCCTTTTAAAATATCTAATAGGGCAGACTACAAACAACATGGAATTCATGCTTTTATTACACTTTAGCAATGTGACATTTGTGTTCATAGAGGAATACTAACGTACTTCGCAGTATACAGTGTAAGAGTGTATTATTACTAGAAAATAGGAATGTGGAAGTATGCATTATGCAATGCTAAATATTTCAAATATTAACTTACTATGCCATATTGTGTTTAATTCTGCCTGCAGCATCCAGTTGTCATCTCCAAAATAAAAATGTAATTTATTTATAAACATTGAATCCAATTTTGTATGAAAATGTCTGCATACTTGCCAGCCCAATCTAATAATAAACTAGAAAATGATATCACACTGGAAATGGATTTTAGTGTGCTCTGCATTGAGAAATTTCATAAAATGTTTAGTAGTATGGTAATATGCTATTTCAAGCATAACTTAAATATCACAAAGGCAGTCAAAAACACAATTTGATACACAAATGAAACAAGAAAAAAAAAGTAACCAGTATTTTAAGGACCAGTATCACACGTAAAAAAAAATTAAAAAATTAAAAAAAAAGTTACAATGACGTCACAGCTGTCTATTGGATTTTAATAACGAACATTCAGTGAAATCAAAATGGGACGTTTTTAGTTTTTTCAAACTCTGAAGTCTTGCGAGCAGACTTAAATGAAACGCACTCGAATACCTTCTGTGTTCTGTGGAGGGATCGAGAAAGTCCATCACTCGCATATATTTCCATTGCTTCTTTTTCTTAGCTGCCCTTCCACCCCGACTCCCATCCTGCTCCAGCCGCTTTTTCCTGGTGTATGTGTCTCTTAGATTTTTCCATTTAGCTTTCACCTCTTCCACTATACAAATACACACACGTTGATGGTGGTGGTTAGGCGCGCTGACAGTAACGCTACATAACAAGCGACACCAACAAAACTCACCATCGACTCCCATTTTGTCTGCTATTCCTTGCCAGAGAACTTCTTTCCGCTTCGTGTTTTTGTACTCACTGTGGTTTTTATCAAATAATTCCTTGTTCTCAGACACCAAAAACAGCAACAGCTCCGCGTCCATCTTGACTACCATTCTTCTTCTAACGATCTAGTGCGGGTCGGGATTTAGCGCTTCAGCGCCACCAAGTGTGGAGGAGAGGCGGGATCGGATACGTAAAGGAAAGGCTTGAATCTGATTGGTCGGTGAGTTTTCCCTCTCAGTCAACGACAAAAAAAAAAAAAATTCAACGTGCACAAAGTACTATGAATGTAAATATAAATTTGAATGACATAATGTACATTCAATTAAATATGAAAAAAAAAAAAAAATAGTACATCCTTAAAAACAGTATTTTTTTAAACAATTGAAAACTATTTCTTGGTACTGTTTTTAGTGTAAGATAATTAATAATTTTAAAAACATACATTAAATTGTTTTCTTCAAAAACGGCTACAGTGTACTGATTGATTAGTACTATTTGAGGTAGTGCTGTGTGTCCTTGGAATCCAAATTCAGATGCTTCTTGATGCACTTGCAAATATAATTATTTATACAAGTATAATGCATAATAATTACAATATATAAAATCATGATTACAATCATAATTATCTTCTCATTCTATTATCATTTTCAATTTATAACATTTTGCTCCAGTCCAGGCATACTCTAATAAAAGTCCTCCTCTGAATATCACTGAAGATCCCTTCAAAAGTATTCTGGTTATCACAGGTTCAGGTTTTCATGTCTATTTTATCTTCAAGTTCTTAAATTAGTGGTAACATAATGCATATTAGATACATGATTACTTAAGTCCATGTAATTTTCTTGATAGTTGTTGCTGATTGGCCCATTCTTGAATGAGCTGATTGGCTATGGCATAAGAAGGCGGGACCCAGAACACAGGTGGCTCTCTTCTGGGGTCAAGTGGCGGTTTCCGTAGTGCTTCTGTTATTTCTTCATAAGTGAACCAGCGAGCATCCTCAAGTTCTGCCTTGTCAATATTCACCTATCCATGAACACAGTTAAAGCATTTTAAGTTTATAACAACAGCAATGTCTCTACTCTGCTGACATTGGGTTAAATAAGTATGTTTTGATATGCCTGAATGCTTTCCAGCGTCTCAAAATAGTATTCATTCAGTCATTTTCACATTTTAATAACTGAACCAATTCTCATCCATGTTCTATAACTGACAGAGAAATACTGTATACACATTTTACCAAATTCATTACAAATTATCCGAAAATAATTTAATGTAAAAGCAGAGACTCAAACTAGAGAGTCCTACATGTGTCTGAAGGCAATTATTTATTTAATACAGTTCCCTTAAAGGGGTCATATGATGCAATTTCAAATTTTCCTTTCTCTTTGGAGTGTTACAAGCTGTTCGTGCATAGATAAGATCCCTAAAGTTGCAAAGACTAAAGTCTCAAACCCAAAGAGATATTCTTTATAAAAGTTAAGACTTGTCCATGCCCTCCTAAAACGGCTCGTTCTAACATGCCTCCACATGTCTACGTCACAATGTGGGAAGATTTGCATAACACCGCCCAAATGTTCACACAAAGAAAGAAGGCGTAACTTTATTGTTGCTACCCCCGCCGCCGCCATGTTGTGAAGACACTGTGTGTTTACGCTGAGTTTTGTAAAAATCGACGCGTTTCAGAAAGCCAGGCATAGAGGAGCAACAATAATGTACATTATGTGGAAAATAATGTGTTTTTTTAACCTTAAACCGCATAAACACATTGCATTACACCAAATACACAAAATAATGTTCTTTTTAGCAACATCATATGACCCCTTTAATAATATAATGTATGTCTTTAATCTGTAGTGTCTCACTAATAAGTAGTTTAAGGGATCACCCAAGTCTCACCTGCGTTTTGTCTGGGTTTACAGTTGCGTGGCAGGCTAACATAAAGGAGCTTTGTGGGAATGGCCAGTGCTGTGATCCAGAGTACTGAATGTTCTTTACCTCTAGACCCACCTCTTCTGCCACCTCTCTGTGCAGGGTCTCCTCCACTGACTCTCCTGCAAAATGTTTTGATAGAGCAAAATGGTTAGGTAACTCCACAGAGTGATATGGTGTGCACAGCAGCTTGTAATAAAGTGTGACTCACCCATGTCACAGAAGCCAGAGAGCGCGCTGTACATGCCTAGAGGAAACATGGTCTGGCGCGCCAGCAAACATCTGCTCCCATCAGACACCAGCACGATCACAACAGGTGCCATCTGCAAGTCAAGGACAAACAGCTTCATGCTAATGTTTTCATTGTGTACCGTAATTTAAGGACAACAAGAAATGGCATTCGCAATTCATTGTACCCCAAAATAGGATATTCAACGCGAAAATGGATTCATCAGGAATTAATTGGGTTGTAAGTGGGCATTCCATACCAGAATGGATTCGGACCCATTTATAAAATATACTGTCTGGGACGCTGCATGGCCTTAAAACTTTCAAAATTTTAAGTTTTTAAATTACTTTAAACTTAAAACTGCTTTAAACTTAAAACTACTTAAAGCTTAAAACCTTCAAACTTTTCAAAATTTATGGCTAAGCTTTCTCAAAGTTTGTATTGATAAATTTTTTTATCTAGTTCAAATCTGTTGTTTGCTGATATTGCCATAGCCTTTATTACATAATTTTAACTGCCATTATTGTGTAAATTACTATGTTAGACTTTATTACATACAGTAGCATTAATTTTTTTATCTAGTTCAAATCTGTTGTTTGCTGATATTGCCATAGCCTTTATTACATTAATTTTAACTGCCATTATTGTGTAAATTACTATGTTAGACTTTATTACATACAGTAGTAGCCTGAAACAATGTCTAAATAGCTATTTAGATACTGTGAAAATGGTAATATATCTTTATTTAGAACAGCACATTAATATTATTCAAACTGCGTCAGTGAAACATATCAGATAAAACAGAAATGATTTGAAAAATCGGACAATGCTTTCTGTCAAATGCCATGTATGTGCATATTGTGGCAGTTGTAGTGTTGTCTGGCATCGTGAAAAGCACATGCTTACTTTGGGGTAGTAGGTGATGCCACTGCTGTGGCAAACTCTGAAACTTCCTGATTGGTTCCTGATGGTAGGCTGCCCAGTGGCACTGCAAAAGCAATTAGTCTGGTGCCATCGAAGGAGAGCTTGTCCCTAAAACAAATACCATATAACTTCTCAGAGATGGTCAACATACGAATGGCTCCAACTTTATTCATATAGAATATCTTTCGTTTTTGCTTTTGTAACAGAAGGAGCGAAAGATATTTTCCTCTGTATTATATATCCAAGTGAAATCAATTATTGAAAAAAGAAAAAAGGCGGGGACTTGGTTCTATGCATCGGCTGTTGATTGGATGAAGGCAGATCTGAATGTGAGCTTGTAGTCAGTTGTAATAAAGGGGTGGAGTTTTAGCAGATGACTGGAGAAGTCCTGAATGCATCACTAGAGAGAAGTCTGTCGTTTAACCAGAAGATCCAGTTCTAACATTTTGATTAAAAATTACGAGGTCAAAAAACATATTCATGGGTGAATCGTTCACAATAAGAACAATAACATGCATTTAGGAAATTGATAGCACAAATTTTCATTTAATGCTGAACTTAAGTTCTGTCATGACAACTCTCGGAGGGATTGGCATGGTAATGTACATGACAATGTTAATGTATTTGGTCTTGGCGGAATAGATCTGCTACAGCAGAGCAAGTACCGAGACTTGCTGCTGCCAATACATCCACAACATGCTGCTGTGAGTGAGCATGTAAGAAATATTGCTGCTGCAAATATAACATACATGAAATAACCCCCATATAGCATACATAAATCAGCAAAATAGCAGATCTATACAGGTGGAGCTGGGGAAGGTGGAGGGTTTCTGAAGCAAGCTGCAACTGCTACGCCAAGCACTAGTCATATATTTGAATGCTGAGCAGCGAGCTCATTGGCTCATCTAGAGTTTCATGCCAGAACTCTGTATTTGAACCTGCAACCTGCTTACCTACCCCATGTTTACTGAAATCAAATATCATCAGTCACAAAATCAACATGACAATTCAAAGCGATTACAAAGCACTAGCATTTCTGATCATTTAGAAACCTAATGTACATACTTTGGCCGCAAGAGGAGACTCTGGTCCAGGTAACATGAAGAAAGCTTTCCTGAGGTCCACAAACATACCTCTACACTCCTGCTCCAATGCACTGCGGTCTATATCACCTACAATGAGAAGAGATCTCCATGAGCTGATATATATTGTGTATAAAATAATATACAGTTTACAGAATAGTATAGTATACAGGGTTTCCATGGTCACCTGGAAATATTAACATTGTTTTCCAGGCCTGGAAATTAATAAAGAATTTAAAATGTCATTGAAATTCCAGGAACAATCAAACACCACTCACATTCTCAATCCTATAGCGTTCCTGTAGCTCAAACAGTAGAGCATGGAGCTAGCAACACCAAAGCAATATACTGTAAGTTAACGAATGCAATAAGTCGCTTTGGATAAAAACGCTTGCCAGGTGTATAAATGAAATTTCATATACTGATACATTTTCCAGTTGTAGAATGTTGAGCTTTATTTTCATAGTATTGTGTAGTAATGGCTGTATTAACTGACCTACTTCCAGTGAGAATTGGGGTTCACCCTTGTCAGTGCATCCCAGAAGAAAAGATTCGTTAACAAAGTGTTTGTCCTTTCCAACCTTCTCCAGTATGTGTTCCAAATCTACAGAAATGGGCATACAAATATACAAATGCATATGCAAAATCCTTTTATTTACGTAATGGAAGAGTTTAAATGGAGTTGTATTGAAACCTGAGGTTTTTAGAGAAGCCAATGTGTAAATGCCACTGCTGGTCTCTCGCAGTAGAGGAGAAAGCTTATGATACAGTAGAAAGATCCCAGACTTCAGTGCCTCTCGACATGCCTCATCGTCCTCCTTTAATCTCTTAAGGTACCTAAACAGGAATATTTTATTTTATATTCAGAAGTTAAGAAAAAAATGACTTGAATTGTCCATAATTCATGCTAGAAAATATGATAGATAACGCTTAATAATACTACCATTTATTTTTTAAATAATTAGTAGTAATAATAATAAAAAATAACATGAATAAGAATTCATAAGAAACCAAAGAATGTTTAATGGATTGTTAATTTTTGTTAATTAGGTCATTCACCTCAAAACATCAACACATAAAAAGATAAAGAAAATAATAGCTGTTTTAGGACTGTTTGCATTGTAAACTCATGAAAAACATTTTTTTTAATCAACAGAGTTAACTATTTGTGTACTTATGTCACAAATGCAAACTATTTTCATTTTCTTATGCATTATAAAATATATTTTCTTTTGACCTGGACATGTTCTTGACAGGTTTTGTGAGATTCATCCAAACACCTATAAAAAGTTATATTAATTCCAGTCCGTCAGTACATTACACTTCCAGTACTACAGTGGCATCCTATTTCATATTATAAATAGATGTATTTTAAAGAAGACAGACCTCACTCGAGAGACATAATATCCAGAGTAGGAGCGTGATCGCACCAGGTTACAGTTGAAGAAAAGCTTGAATGACTGCAGCATGTCTAAAAGGTCCACAAGATAATGCCTAAACAAAGGTTTTAACAAACGTTCACATTTGCTCGACCTAAATGAAACTTGTTCAACAGTCATGCAGGGTGTACGAGACAGAACTTGCCCTTGAAACAGACGTAAACTGTCAGTACAGACTCTTCTTTCAGTATCACGGTTTCCTGTAAATAACAGTTTCTATGATTTTGTTCGTGTAAAGGCACGGCCAAAGGCGAATGTCACAAAAATACATATATATTTGTAACAGAACACATCGTCGTACTACAACGCAACGAATTCAAAGAGTCTGTTTCGTAAAACTTTGTGGCTCCCCCCCACTCCAGCAAGCTTTCAGTTTACATAACATATAGCACCCTGATAAATATTCTATCGTAAATAAACATTTTTGATTGCTCGCCTGCAAACGACTCCTGCGCGTAATATGTACGACATCAGTACGTCATCAAGAGCGGCCAGCGTCTAAATTGAAATCAAGAATTGTAAAATTGCACTGGTGTCTAAAATGTTGGAGTCACAAGCTTATTTATCCCTCTGTCGATATACAGGTGTGATTACACAAAGAGCTCTAATGTACATTATTTATGCTCTTTATGTCTGTACATGATTACACTAACAAAAGGTACCAAAAGTGCCATGCTATTACTGTGCTTTTGGATATCCCTTCTGAAAAAGAAGTGTGCTTAATTGTATTGTATGTGCACTTTTTAAAGACTTGAAATCTTTTAAAAAAGTTATTTAAAAACTGTACTTGCAGATAATATCATATTAATACAATAAAAGGGCACTTAAGTGTATATAAGTGACTATGACTAAATACACTTAAGAAAGAAATCAAACGTTTTATTAGCCTACATTTTAATTCATTGTTTTAATAATTGATTGATTCATTGTTTTATTTTGATGTGCTGTCTAACGAACTAAAGCACAAGTTTAACTGTTATTTTATATTACATTTAAATTTGATGCTTAAATGATAATTAATATACATTTTAAAATACATTTTCTTTTCATTGTAAATGCAATTACTAACGCTTAATAATACTACCATTTATTTTTTAAATAATAGTAGTAGTAATAATAATAAAAAATAACATGAATAAGAATTCATAAGAAACCAAAGAATGTTTAATGGATTGTTAATTAGGTCATTCACCTCAAAACATCAACATATAAAAAGATAAAGAAAATAATAGCTGTTTTAGGACTGTTTGCATTGTAAACTCATGAAAAACATTTTTTTTAATCAACAGAGTTAACTATTTGTGTACTTATGTCACAAATGCAAACTATTTTCATTTTCTTATGCATTATAAAATATATTTTCTTTTGACCTGGACATGTTCTTGACAGGTTTTGTGAGATTCATCCAAACACCTATAAAAAGTTATATTAATTCCAGTCCGTCAGTACATTACACTTCCAGTACTACAGTGGCATCCTATTTCATATTATAAATAGATGTATTTTAAAGAAGACAGACCTCACTCGAGAGACATAATATCCAGAGTAGGAGCGTGATAGCACCAGGTTACAGTTGAAGAAAAGCTTGAATGACTGCAGCATGTCTAAAAGGTCCACAAGATAATGCCTAAACAAAGGTTTTAACAAACGTTCACATTTGCTCGACCTAAATGAAACTTGTTCAACAGTCATGCAGGGTGTACGAGACAGAACTTGCCCTTGAAACAGACGTAAACTGTCAGTACAGACTCTTCTTTCAGTATCACGGTTTCCTGTAAATAACAGTTTCTATGATTTTGTTCGTGTAAAGGCACGGCCAAAGGCGAATGTCACAAAAATACATATATATTTGTAACAGAACACATCGTCGTACTACAACGCAACGAATTCAAAGAGTCTGTTTCGTAAAACTTTGTGGCTCCCCCCCCACTCCAGCAAGCTTTCAGTTTACATAACATATAGCACCCTGATAAATATTCTATCGTAAATAAACATTTTTGATTGCTCGCCTGCAAACGACTCCTGCGCGTAATATGTACGACATCAGTACGTCATCAAGAGCGGCCAGCGTCTAAATTGAAATCAAGAATTGTAAAATTGCACTGGTGTCTAAAATGTTGGAGTCACAAGCTTATTTATCCCTCTGTCGATATACAGGTGTGATTACACAAAGAGCTCTAATGTACATTATTTATGCTCTTTATGTCTGTACATGATTACACTAACAAAAGGTACCAAAAGTGCCATGCTATTACTGTGCTTTTGGATATCCCGTCTGAAAAAGAAGTGTGCTTAATTGTATTGTATGTGCACTTTTTAAAGACTTGAAATCTTTTAAAAAAGTTATTTAAAAACTGTACTTGCAGATAATATCATATTAATACAATAAAAGGGCACTTAAGTGTATATAAGTGACTATGACTAAATACACTTAAGAAAGAAATCAAACGTTTTATTAGCCTACATTTTAATTCATTGTTTTAATAATTGATTGATTCATTGTTTTATTTTGATGTGCTGTCTAACGAACTAAAGCACAAGTTTAACTGTTATTTTATATTACATTTAAATTTGATGCTTAAATGATAATTAATATACATTTTAAAATACATTTTCTTTTCATTGTAAATGCAATTACAATTAAATCTCTGAAAACATTCAGTTTGTATAAGTATTTTCTTATAAAGTATATTATTTACATAGCACTTATTTATATGTATATATATTTATATATATATAGTTATAGCACTTGCATATCATTGCTCTTTTGTTGATTTTGATTGCTTCCATTGTCCTCATTTGTAAGTCTTTGGATAAAAGTGTCTAAATGTAAATGTAAATTATTTCCTTACTAAATACTCTTTTTAAAAATGATAATTCTAAAGCTAAAGTGTACAATTTTTCACAAGGGATACAGTGGTGATGTGAGTTTTTGGACATGTAACATGGTAAAACTATGGAATTCATTGAAGTACCTTGAAATATGTAAATACCATGTTATTTACACTATATATGTAATATAAACAATTATTCAAGACCATGGTCAAAGTATTATGACATGTGATAGTTACCATCATTGTACCACAGAAGCCTACTTTTTAAAATATCTATATCATTTTACTCAACTTTCATTTATTTGTTTTAATGATGTGTATGTATTGGTTTTTGCTATTTTGCCTTTGTCTCAGACCTCCAATCTTTTTTTAGAGGGGTTTTGACCACTTCTTTAGCTGGTCAGGCTGGGAGGGAATGGTTTAAAAGTAAAAACTTTACAGTACATACAAAACTGGAAGAAATTATATTTTCCAGTAGTTCAGGAGTGTGCTTTTTATGTGACAGTAGGGGACTGTTGTACAGTTGCTCTTTATGAACAGCAGATGGCGCTGCAGTTCAATCATTTGTCCTCTGTAGATTTTCCCGAGTTCAGCTGCGCTGTTCTTCACAGCTCTGTAGCAAACGAGCCGCTGAGGAGCGAGAGTGGGAGAGGAGTTAACCAAACAACATTTTCCCATTTTGCTATATCGACTCATTCCAGGGGGGAACAGTAAGTAGACCTGTTTATTACGCTCCAGTAAACATATCTAACGTTAGAGATGATCGCATACTCTTCACTATCACAGACGCGGACTCAAGACACTCTAGAAATTTCCCCGCATATTTGCACAGTTTTCCCCGTTCGGTGTGCTACCATTGCTCGCTTTCCTTGTAAAATACCGGTTGTCAACATATTTCCCTATATTTATATAATTTTTTTCTCGTGGATTTGGGAGCGTAGATTTTATCAGTTGATGGAAAACCATCTTGCGTTTTGATTAAATAAAAAACAAAACACTGCGATCATAAAATCTAATAACTAATATATAAACTAATATTTATAAGATGTAATAAGGTGATAATAAAGTCAAGTGTGCTTATTTATTAAACCATGGTACCAAAATGATGTTTTAGTTCCATTTTATTAGAATCAGTTAATTTTAAAATGAGAAGAGTTGAGTCTCTTTAGTCTGCTTTGAAAGTATGAACGGGTTAAAGATCATTTGCAGCGTGAAGAGCTACAAAACAACACGTTTACAACTTCACGAGTTATAACAACGGAGTAAGAAGTCAGTATAGTGAAGTTACAGTGTTTCGGGTGATGTACTGGGGGAGGGGAAGGGACGTGGCACTCAATCCTCCTCCGTTTACAAATATCCCGCTTACTACCGTGAAACATGTTAATAATAACAGTTATTCGGATGTTATAACCTGTTATAATATTGCAAGTAATTTTGTCATTTGGGTTAACATCAGAGCAGACTAGTGTGTTTGCACAAGTACACTTAACTTGCACTTAGAAAAAGCACTCTTGTTGTACCATGGTATTACCATGGTGCATACTGACAAAACATGCTATATATATTATTACTACTGTACTTTTTGCCAGTGTTATGGACATTGAAAATGTATTTCTGTCCTGTAAAATTAAACCGTAAAAAGTCAAGCTGTTATTTTGCATGCACAGTCACATTAAACAATAGGCCTATTTTTGACTGATAATTTATTAATTATCATATTAAGCATGTTTTAGTTTACTTGACATGTAGTTGTTGCCCCCACCCCACAGTTACACAGTGCACAGTTGTCAAATCCAGTATATTAATCCAAATGTAAAGCAGTAGGCTATATTCTCTTACAATACTTTATCACGGTGATCATTTTCCAGAAATCCCAAAATAGTTAATTATTTCTAACTTGCTATACATTTACTGTAACTGATTATGGTTTTACCAAACTTACATTTTTTTACGGTTTGGCCCAGGGGTGTAGTCCTTCTGTATTATGGTGACCACATCTAGTAACCTTCCTTGACTTCACCCTGGGCTATTGCTTTTTTAGTGTACTCACTGCAGGATTTTAGGCAAGCCTTCTCTACAAGTTAATACTAGTTCCTCAAAGGTTTAGTCAAGTCACGTGTTCTGATCCCATTCTTGCCTTTTTGAGTTAGGAAAAAGCATAACATTTTTTAAGAGGCACTTGGAGGAATCTGAAATGGTTTGTGTGCTACTGTTTATATTAGGTGTTATTTGTGTTTGGGTAAATTCCTGTAGTGCTTGTTTTAGCAGCTGTTTTTGCCCCCAACAGATGGCCGAGTTTTTGGAAATGGCTGGGAAATGCATTCGTATTCGAGTTTTTCTAACACCAAAGCTGAAGTGACGTTTCGGTCAAGCGACGGTCAGAACACCGTTTTTCTAGATATAGCCTACATGTTAATGATTGAGGAACAGCTGTTTCGTCTTGTTTCAGTTAATCATTTTGGTTTGGAAAGTTAAAAGAAGCCCATATTCTTACAGACCCACAACCTGACAGATAAAGCTGTTCGTTTCTAGTTTCTAGTTTCTCTTGGGGCTTTTTGAACCGGTAAAATGAGTG